TTTCACAATTGAATTTCTATTATCATCACAGTTTAATAAACATTTTTTCTTGATAAAAAAAAATGGACTGTTTGTTGCGGAATGCAAAGAAACTGCAAATGTTGCACGACATATTTCTTAATCTTCTAATCATAAAATAAAATTTACTATCATAATTTCATACGAAATAGCGACTAATATTGTTAATGCAATTTGTACACTCATACATTGCACACAATATTTAGATAAATGTTAGAAATGACAATGGTTAGTCTTTTCTAACATCTTCTATTAATTAAAAGTAAATTCTTATAGTTAATCATTTCAATGGATGATGAAACATTAATACATATTCAATAAACCCCTGTTCTCTAGTGAATCCTTTAGTGTTTGGAATAACTGCAGCTGTTGCTCTGGTTTTAAGCTATATACCTGCATTAGATAGAGTAAAAATAAATATGAGAATATAACTTCAATATAATATGTATATATAGTGAATGAAAGTGTAGATAAATTGTTTATAAAGTTAGTAATTTAAAAATGTCACATTAACTAGATTATTTCACAAACTTTTTAACTTGTTTAATAAACAAGTTAACTTTTATTATTAGTTAGATATAATAAATTGTAAGTAGCAATACAAATTAAACTTCTACATAATTTTGCAGTAGACGCATTAATATTACACACCCTGTGTATATAATTTTAGTAAGAAGTTGCTTATTTTTTACCTGTTGTAGAAGTTTTTGAGGTGAAGCAGTTTGAATAAATGAAGATATATAGACGTTCACAAATGTTGCCATTAAATACTGACAATCGAATCTGTCCATTATTCCTCCATGACCAGGTATAATATCTCCAAAGTCCTGTCATTAATTAGATAAAACAAAACATATTACCATTTATAATAAAATTTGTATAGAAGATGGAAAATACCTTAATCTTGAATGCTCTCTTAAAACCACTGGCAAAGAATCCTCCGAATGGTCCAATTACAGAACTGAATACAGACATTGATAGTGAATGAAGTAAAAATGGATACAGTGTTACAGTAGATTTTCCACTAATCTAAAAAATATAAAGTAACATTTTTCTATAAATATTTTCATAAAATGTGAATAATATTTTTCACTTTTTAAATGTATTACCACTTTCCAAACAACTTGTAGACTGTTAGGCAAGGTATATTCTTGAGGTTGGAACAAACTGGATGGTTCACAATCTATAGTCATTCGTCCTAATGCTTCACTGTACTCGATAGGGCAGACGAAGTAACGGTACTGACACATAATGTATGATATCTAAAATATATTCTTCCTTATTTCTGTTTTATAAGAATGCAATTCTATAAAAATGTTTTTAACACATTCGCAACCACTGACGTGAATTCACATCGTTTTAAATGTAATAATTTTCAAATAATAGATCATTACAAAACTACTATTTCAAAACAAATGTTCGAATTTTTATCCCTGTTTTAACGTCAGAAATTAGCGGCAACTAGATTAAGATTTTCTTCATTCTTATCAGTAACGAGTATTAAAAAAAACGAAAAATTTGTCGGCTGTGAATGTGTTAATATAATAAGAATATTACCACTAAACCAAGTATCACTGTTGAAATACCACCACCTATGAAACCTTCCCATGTCTTTTTCGGTGATAATTTAATTAAAGGTGTTTTACCGAAAAAGAAACCGAACATGTATGCCATCACATCATTTATTACTATCATACTAACTGGAACAATGAACCTAAACAAAACCAATGTATACTGTTAAAAAATAATTCCCAAGTAGTATCAATATATATAAATAAATGACTTACCATATTAAACCTTCAAAGATATTCTTAATTATAAGATAACTTTGCGTCACAACAATAAGTAGAGCGACATGTGTCCAAGCAAACAGAGAAAACTGTTTCATATAATATTTCTTTACAAGTGACAGTACAAACCATACGAAACCAACAATGTATAGACAAAATGAAATAAAACGATGATAGGTAACAAGTACACGTAAATATTCCTAAAATGACAAAAAAAAAATTTGTTATTAGAAATTCGAAAACATTTTTTAAAAATTAGAAACATAAAGAATTAAGAGAACTAAATTTTCTGACGTTTAACGGAGAAAACCAGAATTTCATATCTACAGATCTAATAGAAGCCATACAAAGTAGAACTGGAAGCCATATGAGCTATATAAAGATGATACCCAAAGGAGTTAATTGATTTTCTGTCAACCTCTCTTTCTCTCTCTACCTGTGTGCATGTGCGTGATGCCACACGCGCGTTCGTGTGTATACATAAAAATATATTTAACGATTTTATGTAATTAATATTTACAGGGTGAACCATGTAAGATGATCACCTTTATAATTTTAAATACAATTGGATTAATATCTTTTTTTCCATACATGATATAGTTTTAAATTTTCAAATTGCTGATTTAGTATTTTTTAAACTGTTTATTTAAATAAATTTTTAGTATTATCTTTAATTTATTTTAGATGTGATTCTACTGTTATACAGCTCTATCAGATATAAAATTACTTAATAGTACTTACTGTTCTGTTGATTACTACAGCAAAATAATCCATTAAATTTTCTCCATAAAAGAAATAATTGGAAGTAATTAAGAAATACCATGAGAGAGATCTGAACCATGGTAAGCCATGAATTCTATAGACTGCATATCCGATGTTAATGATTTCTTGAAAACATTTTACTTGTACAACCAGTGTCTATCAAAACATAGAAATATATGTAATATCTTATAAATCTGAACTTAAACTTGTAAAATTGAAATTAATATGAAAACTTACTGTAGCCATCAGTGCTAATGGTCCAATGTAAATAATACCACAAAATCCAGCAATCATAAATAATGTAAAAATACTTCTAATAACCCAGTTTTTCCAGCTAAAAAGAGTTTTATAACTTTTTATATGTAAAAACATATGTTACCACAATGAATGTATGTGCTTATTTTTATGTAAATAATCAAAGTAGTTAATTTAAGAATTTTACCGATCGGGTAAGCCAGAAAGTGCTGAATCTAAAATGTGAGGAGTATGATCGGTTCCTTGCGGTAGAGTCTTAGCCAGCTCATCCACCTCCAATTTCGCGTCATCCTCGGATTCCACATCTTCCTTCTGTACAATATAACGTAAAAATCATTTAATAGTAATAATGTATTACACATAGTCTAGAAGAATTTATTTTGTTTTTTAAAATTAAAATTAAAAGTGAATAGAATAACAATTTGTTTAAAATATTACATTCACAAAAATAATAATAATTCCTTATTTATTCGTAATAAAAACTTATGAAGAAGCTTTATGTTTATTAGTGTTTTAATACAGTGCATAAAAACAACATTATGGAAAATTATGCATATATTCATTTTGATACCTTAGTATAGAAAACATGAAACAGAAATTGAAGTTTATTTTCTCTGTTAATCACTTTATCAGATTAAAAATAAGAAAAATTAATTCCAATGATAATATTACATTTAAAATAACTGTGTATGTACATTCATTAAATATGATAATAAAGTTAATTTTTTTTATTTACTATTTATAGTTGTAAATATCTTTATTATAAACAAAATAATAGTGTTGAATAAAAATTATATATATAAATTTTTAAGTTTAGAAATTCCTCTGAATTTCTATTATATAAATAAATACATCTTTGACTTAGAATAGCAACTATCTTGTATAAAAAGTACTAATAAATTTATTTATATAGGAATAATACTATACAAAATTTAATTTAAAATAGTGTCGTGCAATATGTATTTATATGCTATAACATGTCACAGTGTGCTACGGCTGTATTATAAAAATAATATTAGTGACAGAGTGTTTGTCGTTGTAATGATTTAGCATTAGTAACTGTCACAGCCGTCATTCATTCCGCTTAATATGTTTATACATAGAAGACAAAGGTCAACTCGTAGTTAATCACGGTTAATGATACTGGGAAAAAGAAACAGACGAATAAAAAACTTCTCACACGGCTGAACGAAGACTTGTAAAATAGGAAAAGGCCATTTACCTGATCGTCATTGACAACTATTCTCTTCCGAATTTCCGTCATTTTTCACTCGGTGAATGATTTACGGCACTTGTATTCGTATGAAAAACTTAAAATAAAAAATAACACAGTGACCACTGATTTATATGGCTCATCTGCATATTTACATGTTTAAATAATTAATTGAATGGAGCAAACATGACAAACAGCTATCATCTTTGCGCAAGGCAAACTGACAGCTTAGCGCAGGGAATAATCATCGTCGATGTTCGGTTTGTTTCGAGCTTCCTCGGAAAATCAATGATAAAAAATGACTGACAAGTGAATGAAAGCTAAGGACTCGTTCTCAATATACTTCATCAAGCGCTATTCACAGTGCATATTAATCGATGCAATTACATCTTTACATCGTTACATCTTTAATACCGACATTAATGTCGTATTAATGTAATTAAAAAATTACATGTGTCCTATGTTCTATATATTTGAATGTGACATACACATAGATTTTTGCAATTATATAGCAAAGGTGTCTAAATCGCGGGTACTCTAGTGACACTCCCCTCACGAAAAGTTACTCTCTCCATACCTACTTTTACCTGTAATTGAATACTCATAGAATTGCTTACATACACAGTTTCAGCAACTCCTTGAGTAAAAATAGTGGGAGAGCGCTGTTTCTGAGTTAATAGGGTGAGGGGAGTAGACACTTCTGTTATATAGTACTGAAATTTATTTTATATTTACTGCTCTCTGCTATATTATAAATTTATTCAATTTTATTTGCAAAAAATTTGAATGTTGACCATTATATTTATACATTGAAAAAGAATATGTCGATTGAAGGTACGTGAAATACCGCCTTTACCATATGAAACGCAAGGTGGTTTTCTTGCTAGATTAAAATACACACAGCTTTTGACAATGTTTCGTTTGTTGTGTATACTAAACATAACAATTAAAGCATATCGATAGAACACGAAAATACTTTATAAAATTATTAAAAGTGTTTTCCAATTGAAACTAAAATCAAATTATTAAGATTCGATAGAGGTAAATCCTGCAGTAAAGAAAACATTTGAGAAATTGAATATGACATTGCCTGGTATTGGAGTTTTTGGTACTGGAAGTATTGTTAGGATTATTATTCCATTTCTGAGGGAAAAGGGCTTCCGAATTGAAGCCATTTGGGGACGTACACTAGCAGAAGTATCAGAAGTTGCAACCGATCTAGAAATACCATTTCATACCAGTCGAATAGATGATGTATTGCTCAGGAAAGATGTTGACTTAATTTTTATTATGTGCTCTCCCAGCTTGCATGCACAAATAGCGGTGAAAGCTTTAGGAATAGGGAAGCATGTTGTGTGTGATAAACCTGCTGGATTAAGTCAAAGTGAAGCATTAAAAATGGTACGAGCTGCACAATATTATCCTTCTTTAATAAGTATTGTCAATCACAGTTTAAGATTTCTACCAGCATTTGTTGATATGAAAAGAGCTTTAGAGGAAGGGTATTTAGGTGGCCTTGTGACTGTGGTAGAAGTCAGAGTACACATGGGCAGTTTGTTGCATAATGGTTTGTATATTAAAACATTATCTTTGTCAGAAATATTTCAGGTTTTTCCATATATAACTTTATACATTTGTATAGGATACGATTGGTTGTGCGACGATACAATGGGAGGAGGAATCTTAGCATTAGTAGGAAGTCATGTAATAGATTTAATTTTCCACTTGACCGGTCAATACGCCTCAAAAGTGCATGCAGTAGTGCGTACTTTTACCCAAACTACAAAACATATAAATGGAATAAGGCATGTTACATCGCCAGACTTTTGTAGTTTTCAAATGGAATTGAGTGGTGGTACTTTAGTAACAGTAACCTTAAGCAATCATTTACAAGGCCAACTTTCTCAAGAAGTATTAATATGTGGAGGTGGTAATCATCTTCTCGCACGCGGTGGAGATTTATATGGTTATCGTAATGGGCAAGAAGAAATGTTATATCGTGATACAGATGACTTGCAAGATATATCTTTCCCTATTACCGACTCCATACCTCGGCCATATGTCAAAGGATTAAGAAATATGATCTCTGCATTGAGACAAGCTTTTCAATCTGTTGAAGATAAAAAAGGTTGGATAAAGGAACCAGTATTCTCTGCATCAACTTTTGAAGATGGTTTATATGTTCAAGCAGTTATCGATGCACTGCGACAAAGTAACAAACGACGAGAATGGGTAAAAGTTAATATTCTAACAGAAGAGCCAGACCCAAATCCTTTGTTGAGCGCAGCTGTTAGAGCTACAGCAATTTCTATATAAAGTAAATATTGTACAAAGACTGGTTTAAAATTTTATGAATATGTTTAGTGTTATCGAAAAATGTGCTAAAAGAGAAATAGTAATTGTTAACTAAAACTCTTATTAAAATGGGTAACTCTAAATATGAATTAGCACGTATTATTAAATTTAAATTTTAACTTTAACTAATTATTTATTTCAACGGATACACTAAAAGTATGCAAATTACATTGTATATATGTGCATAGATATGTATTATATTTAACAAGTTTTGTAATATGTTTAGATTCATGTAGGATATAATATTTACACTAGTAAAACACTGACATTTATTAACAAAATGACACATAAGACATCATAAAAATATTTATATATTAATAAATTATTTATGTTTTAGTATGAGAAATATGAAAAAAGATGTGTTACTGTAAATAAAATTTTTTTATATTTATATTTCATGTTATCTCATTAATCCATTATTATTAATTTATTGCATATTGGTTTTCACGTATGGTTTGTACGAATAAAAATTATATTTAACAAATTAAATAAAGCAACACACGAGTAAAAATAAAATAAAGTTGTAATTATTCAATAAAATGTAGAATAGTATAGAATTTTTATGCTCCAGGGAAAGGAATTTAATTAAAAAGATCTCTCGTTTTACGCATAATAAAATCAAAAGATGAAGTTTATACTCATGAAACGCAGGACGAATGTATCTAAAGTATATGTTGATGAAAATGTTTATCTGAAAAAATAAAGAATTCATTGTTGAAAGAATTAGTATCATTTCAAGCTTTAATATGACGTGTATACTCGTTAAACGTAATTAACTTATAAAATTAATACAGTCAATTGGCCTATCATGATCTTTTTACAGAAAATACTGTAATAAGGATAGTTATAGTTGCCCAGGTTTCACCATGTGGATGTTGCTGCAAGGAGACTCTTGGAGGTGGATGGAAATTAAATTCCATCGACCTCCTTTTCCACTTTTAAAGCTTACTATTAATGCACTTAGAACTATCGCATTTAATATTAATCCCTCGGCAGCCATCTTCTTTCTTGAGTCTATAGTGAAATACAATACTAACATATTTGTAAAATGATTATAAGGTAATTGTAAATGAGCTGTAGCAATATTAAATAGAAATTGCATTAAGAATAAATGAATAATGTGTCAATGTTAAAATAAAATTAGATTCAAATTAGATTAGAATTAGAGTTGAAATAAGTGAATGTAAATTAGAAGATGAAGAAGTGTTTATGTAGTAACATGTTTTGTTACCTGAAATAACAATAATTAAAATGCGATTGATTATCAATGAAAATGAAGTTAAAGCAAATGAATCTAAGATTAGAGAAAATTAAAATTACGAGATCCTATAAAATTGTACTCAAATTAAAATAAATAAAGTTAAAAAGGAAAGGGACTTTCCTTGCGTTGTGTTGCATGTTAAACTAGTTGTTTCTATCTTCAACCTCGACAAAATGCCATCTTTTGATCCCTTTAGTCCACTTTAAACCAAAAACTGTCTTATTCGATTAGTAGATGAATATAATTTAAGAAATGAAACCTTAAACTTGCTCGATAGCTAACAGTCAATGACTTGGAAAAAGTCATCGACCTTTCGACAGTGCAATTCAGCAATTTCGAACGTTTTACCTAATCACGCCTGGTATCGATCTCGACCGCGGTATCTTATAACTTTGAATCGGTTTTTCAAGTTCTTCCGGTAACTGACCGTCGTGCAAAAACGATGGCCAACACTATTTACCTAAAGCTATATTTAAAAATTTTGCAAAAGACATATTCTCATAAGCACACATCATACACCTGGGTGCGAAAAAACCTAACGCCTAGGGAGGACATTCATACTCTAGTTTATCAATTCCTGAAATCGACTAGCAATGGCTAACGATATTTGAAACAAGTATTTTATTTAATACGAACGATTCATTGAAATTGATATAATTTTACTGTCATTTATTTCATTTGGTAACATAATGGACGACAAAAATATTATAATCTGTTAATATTCGTACTCTACTGAATAAGGAAATAAGGAAAAGTATGTACATATTCCATTAATAATTTATTAGAAATATGATATAAAGTAACTGGAATATACACATGTAAAGTGTATTTATTTGGATTTCGATATTCCGACGCATTTACACTTCCTAACCACATACACACACGCATAAGTGGATAATACGTCGTGCATAATGCGTTAACCATTACCAATCGCTTACATGTTTAAATAATAACAATTTCACATGCCCATTGCTCTTGATCTCCCAAGTAGCACATAGCGCGTAAGAGAGATCAAGCAATGAACATGGGAACAATATATTGAAAATCCTAGCTATAAAATGATCTTAGTTTCTGATTTTTCTAACGGACTATTCTAAATATTTAATAAATTCTGAAAAACGATCAAGTAATCTCTTCGCTAAAGCAACTGTTTTTAATGCCAAAAAAATGTATTACAAAGTAGTTGCTTCGACTCGGAGATCTACCCGTAGCGAAATTTTTTCTTGTACGTGATATTTAATATCATGCTCGATTAGATGAACCAACGTAAATAATTAATTATCTTAATCAATTGTATTTTAATTGAACTTTGAAAATCGGAAACTAGAGTGAATCTATTGATACAATTAATGTATCCTATGTTATGTTATATAATACATCCTATGATACCACTATGTTCTCGGTCATATTATCTCAATATTCAATCTTAAAGGTTGTATTATATTTCTTACGAAACCACAAAATAAAGTTACTCTGCCCGTAATTTGATAAAAAGTCAAAGCATTGTTACTAGTATTTACAGTTAACGTTAAACGCGACGTACAAGAAAACCCTATCCTATCTAACAAATAAACCAAAAAATGCTACTACTCTCGGGTATGTCTCTCAAGGTATATCCGAGGCCACTGTACTCACAAAATCAATCCTTTGAACTTGGAAGTTTCTCACTAGAAATGTTTAACATTTTTTGACGAGGTGAAGACGACATTCCTTGAAACTAACTCGAAGGGAAATCACAGGTATATTGAGGAACAAAGCTATTTTATTCTAATATTTTACGTATCCAGGCATTATACAAATATCAGATCTTATAATGTTGAACTTTGTATAATGCCTGGATACGTAAAATATTAGAATAAAATAGCTTTGTTCCTCAATGTACTTATGATTTCCTATAAAACTATAAAATCTGATATTTAGTTTCACCGCGTCAAATCAAATGGTGACTGAGAGTCGCCTTCCAAGTGTAAAGGGTTAAAAACTACTAAAATGGTACCACCAGTTACCGGTGTCGATACGGACCTTTTGTCCTACGACATGATCGGTGGCCGTAGTGAAGAAAAAGTATGCGATTCACCGATCGCTGTTCGCAATCGGTACATGTAGCTTAAGTTCCGCCGAGGACCACTAGTTAGTACTGGTCAGTACTAGTTAGTATAGATCTGGATTGATATCAACTGGTCAGTAGTATTCAGTAGTAGTCAGTAGTAGTCAGAGCTGGAGGTAGGAGCAGGCCACTGATTGTCAGAGAGGTTTAGAAAAGACCAGGAAGGTCCAGGCGATTTCAAGAGCGGTTACTAGTCCGCGACGAAGGACCTCGGTCCTTACAGTTCAAGAGTTCACGACAAACTGAGCTTTGTGCTGTCGAGACTGTTTCATTCTAGGCAAAAGTTGTCGATGTTAACACGTTAAGTGCCCAGCTTGGTTTGCTTGGCGTTCCGTTCAGGCCCAGACGCGGCCGTCACCGCTGACGGACGAGCCGAAACATCGGCTTGAGGACCGGAGTTTTCTCAATGTTATAATAATAATTTCCGAATATTAGGTTCAAAGATGGCAAAGAATTTAACACAAAAAGTTAGCACCTTCTGCAATGAATGTAAAAGCAAACCACACCTCTGTTTACTTTGTTTTAATAAACTACATTAACTTTTTTTAAATATTATATTCTTTTTTTTCAAGCCTTGACTGAACGAAAACCGATGTCGCCTAAGCAAAATATTTAGTCTCACATCAGTGCGTAGGGACCGACACGCGCGGTCGTGTAATATGAACGGAAAGTCTGACGCCGGTCCCTAGGGACCGGCGTGGCGTTTAACGTGTTAATTGCCGATGTTAGTCGCGACATCCTTGACCTCGTCATCGAAAATAATGCCTTGTTTAACACGTTGACTACCACGGTAGTCACCGATGATTGGAGCTTCCAAATTACTTGAAAACAATTGTAACTTGTCGGACAACTGATGTCGAATGACAATGTTCAATAACGTACATAAATAGATAATAATGTAACCTAATTATCGCAATGCCAAAAAAGAAGTGACTGCTCCTTTCTATTTTCGCTATAAAAGAAAAACGATACATAAAACTCTGAAGTTTTTCGTGGTAGTCAACGTATTAACCGTTTGCACTCGATGATATTGTAGGAATCATGTGTTCCCGATGATAAGGTATCTCCATCTCCTGTGAAATGTGCAAACTTTGTTGTTTAACAGTTTGAGCAATCTGCCATGGTTGACGCTACAGTCATTTTGCGTAGAATTCGTACATTGGTAACATTTGTAACATTCTTTTTCTACTCGTTTGAGTGTTTTGTCACGGATGTCGCCACCAGTCAAAACCGTAGATTTTCAGAAATAATTTTTGCCGCAATATGCATTATATGGTATGCACAGAATAGCAAGAATTATTTGGTGTATTGGAAAGACTATGTATTATACTGAAATAAAAAAGAAATTTCCCACGACGGATGATCGATGTTTCCTTTCTTGGGTTTAAGGTTAACTTAAAAGTGACTTAGTTTATTTTAAACTATATATTTTAAGAAAGAAAGAAAGAAAGAATTAAGAGAGAGGTCCTTGATTCGAAAATGAGAGAGAGGTCCTTGATTCGAAAATGAGAGAGAAGTCTCTAATTAAAAAAGAAGAGAATGACCTAACTAAGACCTTTGCATTACGTGATGGTAAAGGCGTTTTCAGTTGTTTGATGACCGCTTTTAAAAAAAATTATAAAATGTTATAAATTTGGGATTCTGTGTAATATAAGGAACATATTGAATTGCAAAATATAACATTAAATTAATAACATTAAAATTATTCCATTAATACGTAGATATTTCAAATTTTCTGATTTCTCAAGTTTTCAATTTTATCGTTAGATGTCACCACAATTCATTTTCAACATGCAACTTATCGCATTAAATACTTAACGATTGTGTAATTTCCATTTCATTTTATTCTTTAATTATTTGTAGGAAAATTCAATAAATAATTTTCAGTGTTTGGTATATATTTTTTTTATTAGATTTTAATATTTTTCTAGTTTCACGTGATAATAATGACGGATCATTTGTTATCCATAAGATACATTTTATTTTTAATTAAGATATATATTCTTTTTGTACTTAGGTTCTATATTAATTATTTTATAATTCATTAAATGTGCAAGTATTCAAGAGATTCTAGTCAAGAATTTTATGTTAATAAAGAAAATTGTCAGTACTTGTTAGGATAGATAATTTACAGTTTCTCTAATGT